AATCTACGCACAAACGTATTTACACCTGTTTGTAGACCTGGTGATTGTAAAATCACAAACAACATGGTAAAACATTACCTTTGAACTATTGATAGTTGATAGATTAAAAATTGTTTATGTGGGATGTTATTGTAAATGTGTTTGTGGTCATCATATATATCGTTTTTCTTCATTGTTATCGATTGTCCCTTTGGTCCAGTTAAAATGCAGAAAATGGTGAAAATGTTTGATCACTGCTTTTTCAGAATTATGTTGGTGGTTTACACATCCTCGCAAATGTGTCTGTATTCTGTTGTAAAGGGCAGTATTTTTTTCCTTGCCCACGTGGTACGAGATAACAGCTATTAACTCTGCGTCATAACGGAATGAGACGCAGTCTCAAGGCACCTTATTACTGTTTTTACACTAACTGTTCACTGCACCTTTTAGGTATTTGTTACCTTGCTTATCTACAATTGTTCTTATGACATTTTTGTATATTGCATTGTTGTTTCTTATATTCATGTGTGCTTGGTTACTGTGGTTGTAACAGCTGCTGCTGACACTGCCAATTTGTGTGGATCAATAAAGGTATATCTATCTTTTTTTGATCTATCGTTGTTCTGCTATCTACCTCGGTATCGTTTAGTCTTAGTCTATCGTTTGTCGTTTTGTTCTTGGGATTTCGGTGTATCTATCTCCCCTCCCCGGTTAGTCTGATCGTATGCTTCTTTGTGTGGTTGTATTCTATGATCCAAAACGACAAAGAGAATTGCAGTTTACTTCTCAGCTAAGAAACCAGAAAAAATTTCAATATTTCAGGGAAGCTGGGAAACCAGAGATTTTGTTGGGCTAGCTTTTCTGTTAACACACGGACTACAATCGTGAATTGCTTGGTTTATCAGAAATAGGGTTGCCGAATGTGATTTGACAGAGCGTAATCGATTATTCAACGGTGAAGCGCTTTATACGCACCATCTGTGCCAAGGAGGGATGTCTTGAAGCAATGCCCTTTTTGAGATATATTTGATATTATGATTATGGTATGTATATTAAATGTATTTATTGTTGAACAGACTAACTGGGAACATGAAGTCGTTGTCGCTCCAGGAGGGGGTCTCCGCTTTATGTGGCGGCGTTTTTAACCCATTAACATCTACTGACCGTTTAATCTCTCTGTTTAGAAGGAAGAACTCGGGTCGACTGATTCACATTAGACAACAGTTTTGTAGCTTATTGCCGGGCCTTGTCTGGCCGCCGCGTGGCCTCCATGAAATGGGTTCTCAACAATCAATCGGCCGGGGACAAAGGGACGACCAAACGTCGGCTAAACAAAAAAACCATCTCCCTCCCCCCATTTCCCCCGAGGTGGCGGTTGATAAAGTGAAGGAGCTCTTCCGGATTGGGGCTCCGCAGTCAAGCCAGGGACGCGGCTCTTCCTCACCACCAAGGCGGACAGTGTAAGGCCTGCACTTTAATGCTCACATCATCGGCTTCGCCGAGCTAACCGAGTAACTAATCCAAGCAGGGATAGCTCGCCGTTATCCTTTATCGGCGATGGCATTGTGGCAACGCAAGCGCTTGAGTTTGTTGTTGGCGTCCAAGTGGGGCCCCAGTTCACCGTGAGTTTGTTGTATTGCTTGTGTTCGGTGGTGTGTGTGTTTTGGTTTGAAGCGAGCCTGTTGTGTGCAGCCCCCCCCCCGGGCCCCCCCCGCTTTCCCCGCCCCCCCTCCCGCCGCCGCTTCTTCTGTTCTTTCTGTCCGGTGCTGCCTCGGTTCGAACAGCGGGCTCCGGGAATGAGAGCCAACAGTCTGTCATAACAGCGATCCTCGGCTCACTTTGTGCCTAGAGGGAGACCGAGCACTTGTGGCCAGGTTCCTACAGGCTGAGACCACAGGCCGCGGTACACCGGTACAGGGAGTGCCACCTGAAGCTGGTGGAGTTGCGTTAGTTGTGTTGGTACACATTGATTTTAACAGGTTGTATCAGGTTACAACTAAAGACCGTCTCGCCACAAAGGGCTGTAGTTTAACAGGAGGAGGTGGTTAATTCAACGCTTGTATGGCTCTCTTGTGTTGGCCTGTGGTGGATGTGTGTTGTTATTGGAGTATAAAGAGGTGGCTGACAACATGTTAGGAAGACTTCTTCTTGAGTAAATATAAAACATTTGTCAACGACAACACCACATCGCGAAGAAAAGATGGACCATTGAAGTGGAGGAGTCGCAGCAGGCGTCTTCCTGAGTATAAAGTAAATGTTTTAATCATTTAACAACTGTTGGTATGAACGTAGGATTTTATTGCATTGTTAGGGGCCACCCAACTGAGGTGTATTCGTGTTTTCTATATAGTTTAGTGTTGAAGTGCACTGTAAAGAAAAATTATCTTATCATTTTGTTTTTATATATTTTCTTCATAATGGACAAGCGGAGTGTACCGTTAGATCTTGTCGGGCTTTATTAAAAACAAGTTGGTTTAAACAGGTTAATTGCCGAACAACAGTTTTGGGATTTTGATTTGATGTTTTCCACAGATATTTACTGTATCACGTTATATATGGATATTGTAAATATAAAAATTACATTGCTGTGGGATAGACGAGGGCGGATATTGATTCATAACCCAGCTCAAAAGGTTATTTAAGTTTCCAACCAGCTTCTGTTTATTGTAACTGCTGAAGCTCATTGATTAACTCTTTCCCTCAATTTTTCCCCACTTGCTCTGCCGGGTCAGCTTGGGTGCTTTTGTAAAGTAAAATATTAAGAACTTTATACGGATAATGAACAGTTCATCATCTATTCTGGCTCTTGATAAATACTTCCTTAACACAAAGTTTGTTGTAGCGTGCTAATCTGGGCTGAGGGAAAAGCTCATGTTACTGGGTGGATTGGATGCTTGATCAAACCAGTTCCATGATTTTTGAAAGCACCGTCTGTCACCACCGAAGGTTCCTGAAATTACTACAAGTTGTGGACTGTACAGGGAGCCGAGTTTGGGACACAGTGTATTATTCTCTTTCCTACCGACAGATATCCTGCCTAAGGAAGATCTTGGCACGAGATTTACCTCAAGTCTTTGGAGCAAAGTGCAAGCAAGAGGGGACGCTGACTTTTTTAAAAAAAAAACAAAAAAAAAACCCCCACGGGGCTGCATGTCACATCTGGACAGATTTATCAAATGTACACGCCTTTCATTGAGAGCAGAATGACTGGCAGACGAGACACCCGGAGCTGTCTCAGTGCTTTTAAATACATTGACAGAGTTTAGCGGTAGGGCTCATGGAAGAAGTTAGTGGACAAACACAGAGATGAGAGTAAAACTGCGTGAGGGGGGGCGTGAAATCAAATAACGTCTTAGATGAACACAGAAGTCGTGACAGATCTACATTTGTAACAATGGCCTAAACAAAGCAGCCTTAGATCATCAATCATAATGCAATTGATCACCTCTACAAAGACAATATGTTTGTGTAGGTTAAAGCACTGTTGTAGCTAATAAATGATTCACTTGAATAGTAGATTTCAGAACGATGTTGCATTCGGCCCGTATTCCTAGACTATCTTTAAAGGTCTTCTGGTAGCAGTGTCTTATAAATGTCATGCTTGTTTTGCATGCACAATAATCAGGAGGAGTGAATTGTCTCACTCACACAATTGTTTTGTTCCTAACAACTTGCAGGCCTGTATTAGTTCATTCCACATAACAGACCACACGGCTGGAGCACAGATGTCTCAGCTCCTGATTTATTGTTGCCTTTTAAAATATGATTTGGTGAACACTGTATTTGAAACATGTTGTAAAACATTGATTTCCAGGTGAAATGTGCTGATGTTACTGACTCTAAGTTCTACATATACGCTCATGTTTGAGTTGTGAGTAGTTTTATCAAATACTTGAAAGTAGTTTGAACTAATCAAAAGTTCAAATACCTCCTTTTTTCCAGCTTAACTACAAAGCAACTGAACATGCTGTGTCTTTTTTCCAAATGAAAATTCACTCTCAGCCTAACAGATGTGACTATTCAAAGTGTATATAACAGCTGGCCAACTTATAAGGCATCTTCCTCATAAATTTACAAGTTAATTGTTTAGATTTGATATTAAAATAAACATTCATGCTGTCTGCTATTCATGTTGCACCACATGGGTTTCACACCACAATCTTGGGAGACGTGTTGAACGTTATTCTGCTTCAAGCCTCACAAGTGTCTCGCGGTTTTACGAGAGGCTGTTAATGCGAGCATGAAAGCTCCATGTGGAACACGTTTGCAAAAGGGGAAATATAAAACTAGATTTAACAGCTACATGTTCATCAAATCTCCCTGATAATGTGAGGTTTATTTATTTCTGCTGAATCCAAGTTACACGATGTTACAGATGTTTTTGATGACATAAGATGATAATAATATCATAATACGGATAATAGTCCTGAGCATGCATGCATTTGCTACATGGTTGTACAATACGTGGATATATAAATACAGTTCAAATAAGGGAAGAAAGAGACAACAGGTCCTTGTCGCTGTCATTGCTGCATGAGTTTGTAGAGTCGAAGCTGCATGTTGAGCAGAGACTTCTCTAAAGTAGAAAAATTATTCTCCAGGACGTTCGCCATGTGCTCTCTTCCGTCTATGGCGTCCCTTGTGTTGGCGAGATGCTCCTTCATGCTGAAAGGGACCACAAGTTAATGTATGAGACTTTCTGACACCTTTACACACTACTGTACATTAAATATTTCATATATATTTATTCATAACTGTCCAAGAGTAATTCCTCTTACATCTGATAGAGAGAGACAGAGTATTGGGTTGTATTTGTTCTCTCTAAGGCTTTTAGTGCCAGAGCCTCGTCTTGGCCAGATGTCCTGACAGATGACTGTTGGAAAACACTTGAAATGACTCAGCTGCTTGTCTGGATGCTGTTTCCACTCTGACTTATTTGGCATTCAAGCTGTGTTTTGTTTGGGCCAAACAAGCAATACTGAGCCAGGGTTCCTGA